ATAAAAATGAGAAATCAAACCATGGTGAGCGAATTCATCCTGCTGGGAATCCCTGAGACAGAGGGCCTAGAGACGGCCCTTTTCTTTGTGTTCTCATTATTTTATTTGTGTACCCTCCTGGGAAATGTGCTCATTCTCACTGCTGTCATCTCCTCCTCTCGGCTTCACACTCCCATGTACTTTTTCTTGGGAAACCTCTCCATCTTTGACCTGGGTTTCTCTTCCACAACTGCTCCCAAGATGTTGTTGTACCTCTCAGGGCAGGAACATGGCATCTCTTTCCAGGGCTGTGCTGCCCAGCTCTTCTTCTACCATTTCCTGGGCTGCACCGAGTGTTTCCTGTACACAGTGATGGCCTATGACCGCTTTGTTGCCATATGCTTTCCCTTGAGATACATGGCCATCATGAACCACAGAGTGTGCTCTGTCTTGGCCACAGGGACCTGGATGGGTGGCTGCATCCATGCCATTATCCTAACCTCTGTCACCTTCCAGTTACCCTACTGTGGATCCAATGAGGTGGGCTATTACTTCTGTGATATACCTGCAGTGCTACCTCTAGCCTGTGAGGACACATCTCTGGCTCAGAGAGTAGGTTTTACAAATGTTGGTATTTTGTCTCTCATTTGCTTTTTTCTCATCCTTGTTTCCTACACTTGCATTGGGATCTCCATATCCAAAATTCGTTCAACAGAGGGCAGGCAACAAGCATTCTCCACCTGCAGTGCTCACCTGGCTGCAATTCTTTGTGCCTATGGGTCAGTCATCATTGTCTACCTACAGCCCAACCCCAGGCCCCTGCTGGGTGCTGTTGTTCAGATCTTGAATAACCTTGTGACTCCCATGCTGAACCCGCTTATATACAGCCTGAGGAATAAAGACATAAAATCAGCCCTGAGAAATGTATTTCCTAAGAGAAGTCTTGCTGTGGAAAAATAAATAAAAAATAAATAAGAGACTCTAAAGCTTTTTAGGATGAAGTCTAATTTTCCATATCATAGGACAAACTCTCATCTGAGGTTCTCAAAACATATTGAAATAAAATATACTCTGAATCAATCTACCTCTTATTCTCAGTATTTTAATATACATGTCCATCTTTTCCCCCCATGTTTATAATGAAATAGAACTGATAATGTTGCTATTTGACATTGTACTCATGCTGTATGAATTCTGTCTCAGCACAATTGTACCCCAAAACATTTCTTAGTTGTTTAAATAGTTGAAAGAATTAAAACACATCTGTCTCCTCATGGTCTTGGTTAAAAGTGTACTCTTATACATCGTGAGGAAAAAGAGAGTGAGAGAAAAAAATTGAAGAAAGGCTAATACATAACATCAGAATTCTGTCTCTTTTCTTTTAGAGAGTGAACTCCAATTTCCAGCAAGCAACATCAAAATTCAAACTAAGTTAACTAATATTTAAAGTAATATCTTCTTGGAATAAAGTCTTGTGTGATTTTGAGAGTTTTTTATTGTGCGGATTCCTTTGGACCTAGATATTTTCATTGCATTATTAGACCTCTGGAAAGATATGAGTCTATATTGTTTCTCATTAGATACACAAAGTAAGAATTTTTGTTTTATAAAATGTGATGAAAAAATAAAAGACTCCCATTGAAAGTAAATAGTTTGCTATTTGGCTTTTAAAAAAAGATGTTGATTTATTTCTGTGTCTATAAAGAAAAATCAAACTAAAATTATTTAAATTCAAATAGGAATAATAAATTTCCCTCCCATGGGAAGTTTCTTCCTTTCTCATAAAACAAACAATATAAGTTATTTTTCTTCCTCTAATCTCTGTGTTCCATAATGCTGAGGGTAAAACAGGTAAGTTTTGTTTCTAGAAACTATACTAAATTGTGTAATAAATATAATTCTCTTCCTCTTTTTCTATATTATTTCCTCTATTTATATTTTATCTACTAGTTATTTATGACTTTTCTTATAAGGCACAATAACTCCCCTTGGACAGATGAATGAAATAAATATTACAGAGAAAGAAAGAGGGAAGGAAGGAAAGAGAGAGAGAGAAAGAGAAAAAAGTAGGAGAGGGAGGAAGTAATTTGTGTTTTAGAAGTAAAATAGAATAGTGCTTTGTAATGAAATGGTTTTTGCTTTCTTCTTTTCTTCAATTTCTGCCTATCAACAGTTGACTAAAAATCAGTTCTCCAAGAAGAATCTATAAGTCATCACAGAGTGTGGGATGCACTATTAGAAACTATTAAAAGGTTCAGTGGCAGCTCATGCCAGTAACCAGGGAATTGCAATGTGGTGTATAAGAATTTCTAAAGAAAGAATGTATTCATTAGTTTTTCAGTGCTATGACAAAATTCTCAGATAATCAATTTCAGGGAGTAAAGAAAAATTTGGCTCAGTGTTTCAGAGGTTTCAGTTTTCTGGCCATCTGCTGGCTTCAAGGTAGAAACATCAGGGCAAAAGGGCATGACAGTGGAAAGCTGCTCCTCTGCTGGTTTCTGGGAACTCAGAGAGATAGAGAAAGAGAAAGAGATTGGGAAGGGGTCTGGAACAAGACGTTGCCTTCAAAGACGTGGCCCAGACTACCCACCTCTTCCAATCTGGTCCAACTTCTAGAGTCTCCATCACTTTCCAGTAGTGCCCCTAGTTCTATTTAATATGCAAGCCTTTGGAAGGACATTCAAGATTGAAATTATAACAGTCACTGTGATTGTTTTTCACAAGAAGTTAGGTTCCACTCTTGATAGAAATCAAATGGACAATATTGCAAATTTCAAAACCATTGATACACAAATGTTCCTTTCAAAAAGCAACAATTGGATTTAAATATGAAACATATCTAATGTTAACTAATACAATGTAAACAGTGGCTCCATTTTCTCCTAAATGTGTAATGTAAATTTTTTTTAAAAAAACATATTCATCTGTTAGAGTAAGGTTGTTATGATTCTAAATATTCTGCTAATCAGAAAACCCCAACAGCCCCTCTAGTTTTAAACACTTATGTTTCTTTCTTTTTCCTTCACCTGACTTTTGGGAGACAAATTGCGTGGGCTCTCTCTCATCCAGTGAGGAGGTCCACGGAACAGGGTAGAGAAGAGAGTGGCTGAGGAGTCACTAATCAAGACCTCTGGAAATGAAGGTGCAAGCAGGTCTGATTTTATTGCACATTTACCATGTATATAAACTCAGGCAGTAGCTAAGCAGATTATAGGCAGCCACCAATACAATGTCTTGCTAACTGTCCTTGCAGCAACCAGTAGAGGAGTGGACCCTGGAGCAAGCACAGGGATTATAACACATGGCCTCACGCCCAGGGCTGTGCCTATAGGGTAAGTGGTTTGCCACTCATGCGCCTATTGGGGGGGGAGTGGTTTGCCACTCAGACGCCCTTAACATAAGCCATGTATGCAGTACTCCATGCGCTTGTCCCCACATGTCACCCCTCTGACTGTGCTGCAAGGACTTCAGCCAGCATTGCTGTTTTTTGTTCAATGGCCTTTATATGGTTATACAAGCATCTCACAACAACACAAGAAAAATTTATCACTGTCATAAACATCAAGGCCAGGGTAATTCCACTATAAGAATTAGTTAATTTGGCTGTCAGGTTTTTCCAATGTTCAGTTAATCCCTGGAAGAAAGAGCAGGTTGTCAAGATAGATCTTAGTCTCATTGATTTTTTGACAATTGCCTTGGTAAGGTTATGCATAATCATAACATAGTCAGCATCCCAAGCACCCTTAATATACTGAGAAAAACTGGAGAAGTGTAAGGTTACATTTTCAGAAACAGATATTGGGTGACACAAATGCAATGATATTCAGGGTCACAAGTAAGCCTTTGCAACATAAACAGAATATCTAGTTGTTCCTGGTGGAGGTCTTGTTCTTGTTGAATGACTAAAATAGCAGCTTGGGACAGTTTATTCAAGTCATTTTGAACAGCAAAGGCTTCTGCCATGGCAGTAGACAACTTGTTTACAGTCTGAGCAGTCTGAATACTCTGAGTGAGTGAATCAGCCGCAGTGGCTGTGGCAGTGATGGCGGCAACCAGGGCAGTAATCCCAGCCATGATGAGGCTAATTGCATGCCTTGTCTTGTGCAGGATCTCTTTCAGAATATTCTCCATCTCCATGTCCCCCGGACTCTTCCACTCTCTAGGCAGGTTCACAGGAAGTCAGATTGCACAGGGGGCTCTCTGAGGATAAATATATGTTTAGCTTTCATAGCAAAGGTTAGACAATTTGTGAGCCAGCAGGATGTGTTGACTGCACAAGGGATCTCTGTATGAGTGATATTTATGCCAAAAGTACCGTTGATTATTAGCATGGCAAAGGGTGGCATAACACAAGCTTGAGTATAGTGGGTATGGGTATAATTTGTCATAAAAGCAAATCCATGGTGAGGGTCTGAACTCATTATTAGTCCGTTCTTCCAGCCAGCTGCTGCTCATTTGATGGGTCTAGCAGCCAGAAATATTGGTGTGATATCTATCATGCAATACTGATTTCTTGCATAATGGTTGGTAACGGCTTGTCCCGTGTAGCAGTTACTGTGGTAGCTCATATAGCTTTGGGGAATATCAGTTACATTCCAGGGAGCTGCACTCACTCAGGTGCATAGATGTTGTTCTTCCCCAGAGAAATTCCTCTTATCAAGGAGATAAGGTAAGGCAGTGATACATTGATTCCATGGGATGCTATCATTATCCGAGGGGAGCTTTCCAAAAAGCATTGTTGAGCATGTTGGCAGCAAGGGTTTCTTGCATTTGCCATGGGGGAGTCTATGGCTATAGGTAGCATTAACTATAACTCTAAGGTCAGTGAGACACAGGCCAACATATGACTTATTATGGTTATCAATAATAGTTTCATTGGCAAGAGCAAAACAGAGGGGACTGTCTGGATTATAGGTTTCATTATCTACTCTAGAGAAATAAATAAGCAGAGTAGGCATAGAAATGCTGGTATTTCAGGGTACTATCACCTTCTGGATGGATAACTGAGGATCAATAAGGTTGGAATTATTACAGAAGAACTTAGATAAAGCCCCTTTCCAATTAACAACAGCTAAAGATGGTTGCCTAGTGACCAAAGCCCAATTTACCTGATGGGAGGCTTCACTATTAGCAGTGAGCATTGCACACAATAGAACCATCATCATAGGCCCAGGAATGAAGTTGCCACCAGGCAAAGGGGACAATCTGGTGGCTTGGTCAACAGCACCTTTAATATCACCCCAGGTTACTTTACATGAGGTTTGTTTGCATCCTTGAGTCCTTTGTTTGTGAGGTTTATCCTCCAGAGTTAGTTCCTTTATCTTCTTGGTTGGTATTTTGGGAGTCCAGGGCTTGACTTTTCTGGCAGGCACCCAGTTTGGGTGAGGCTCCTGTTAACATATGTAAACCCTCAACCCATGGTTAGGAGGGGCCCCAGACCATCCCATGCATTTGTTATGGGAGCCTTTCATGAGACCATAGTAGATGAGAGGTCCCCATGAGGGGGGCCCAATGCTTATGGGCTGCTTTTTCTGTAGAAAATTTTGAAATTGAAAGAAAATTTAAAGCAAGTAAGGTTTTGTTCAAGGCATTGCAAGGGGACAATTGGTATAGTTTCCCCCCTATGTTTTGTAGCATGGTCTTTAATTCCGTGTGTGTGTGTGTGTGTTTATAATGCCTTGAGTCTAAGGGTTATAGGGGATCGCAGTTAAGTGCTGTATATGCCAATCATTACAAATTGCTTGAAATGTCTTGCTAGTATAGGCTGGCCCATTGTCAGTTTTAATAGACATGGGAACATTCATAACCAAAACATTTAAGAGATTTTGTGGTTTCTCCAGTGGAGGCTGTGGCCATTACACAGCCTGAATAGATATCAATAACTATATTAATATATTTTAAATTTCCAAAAGGAGCATAATGAGTGATATCCATTTGCCATAAAGCATTAGATTTTTAAC